TTGGATTTGGTTCAAGTGACCAAAAATTAGGGTGGTTAAACTCAACTTTAAGTTAGCATGTTAAGCTTTTGGCATGTTCACTAAAAATTAATAAAATTCGCAGAACTTCACTAAGCACCTTCCTCCCTTCATAACTCCCGCTTAAAATTAACGTGTATCTAGACCTCTGAATTTCGACTTTTTTCAAAATAAATTTAAACCCCCCGAAGCGCTTCACACCTCGGGCATCATGCGGTACTCTTATGATTTTGCATTATATTACAGGGTAAGACAGTGGGTCCAACTTCTACGAAAATCCATTCAATTTTTCACAAAAAAGAGAAGTAAAAAATGTAATGAAAATGAAACGTTACAAATTTGCATACATTCTGAAGTTTTGGCGAAACAAAATTGTTCCTTTATTTGTCTTTAAAAGCTTAAATTTCGCTACGGGTCTGTCTTTGTATTAATAAGTCTAGTCTGAGGTTATAATTTTCTGATTTAAGCGAATGAAATATCTTCGGCTTATTTTTAACATGGGACCGGTATATTGACTCTTAACTGTTTCCCAGTAAAGGTAGAAACGTGCACAACATGTTTAAAAAATATTGGCTTGTTTTTGAAACGACTTCCTCAACTCGTTGCTTAACAGCCACCAAGATAGTAGTTTCAGGGAAGGGATGGGTAGCGAAAACCTCTCGAGTTGGACCTATTTTTACGGTTTTTTCGCAAAACGGGCACCGGAGGCTCTCAATTTGGGCAGAGCGACACGTAAATGAAAATGAAGTCTTATAATAAAAAAGGGGAATTAAGAGTAATTTTAATCTCTAATGGTCGTAATTTTCTACAATTAATCCATCATTCAAATTCAAAGACAAATAGTTATGTTGGATTTAATTCTTTACATTATGTCTACCGGTAGAAATAAAACTTCCACTCTCTCTCTTTTGATTTCAACTCGATGTGGTACGATTTTTTTCCTGGTTGAATTTGATCGATTTGGCTCCGATGTCAACACTCTTCGCGGGTTTCTACGAAGCCCCACAGTGCGTCGAAGAAAACTTGGCCATATGGGCGTCTCTTGAGTGATAATGATTGTATTTCAAAACATGTCGAAATAATTGCTTGTTTTAAAAATCCGTAGGTTTAGCAGCCGTACTCTTTCAGACTCTTCTGACCAAAGTTCAGAAACATGTTTTGATGCACGAATGAGTTTTTTGAGCGCTTTTATCAGCACCAGACCAATATTGTGTCAAAGTAGGTGCTCTACGTGCGCCTCGTCATTTATGAGCTACTTTTATTTTTCATTTTAATGGCAGTGCATCTGTCGGTATTCAACGATGAGATAACGGGATCACGATCATAATACGTGATATAGAGAAAAAATAACAAAAACAAAATTCACCCAAATTTGTGACTCGAATTTGTGAGGATTATTCCGATGGAGAAACCCTTATCGTGCGTTTTTTTTATAGTTTTAAATTCAAATCCTACAGTCCCTCCTATCGAAGGAAATGTTCAGATGTACAGCACATTATGAAAAACGGGGGAAGAATCGTATTGTTTCAAATTATTCGTTCCTTCTTTAATTTTTGAATCGGAAACGAACTAGAAATATTCATCGAAACGATAAGAAAAGAAAAAAAAGTAGGGTTCATTGTGGAAAAGAGAAGGCATGGGCATTTTCATTGAGAAATTTTGATGAATGTTTTTCTCCAAGAAAAGGAAGAGAAATCGGGCAGAAGAAGAGGGCATGACTTAAAAATTAACCACAGCGCCACAATGTTCTTTGGTGGGCACTTGTGACATTGCTTCCAAATTAGTCGGTCTGGGTTTTAGCGAGCAGGAGTTCAAAGAGAAAAAGTTGATAATAATCCGCCTCCACCAATAGGATCCCTCCATAACTATTTTGTCTTCTCTGTCTATAGCTTTTTCTATCAATTTCAATATTCGACCCGCTTCACCTAAGTGCGGAAAAAGAGTTACATGAATGGAAAATGTATTTGATTGCATAAACTGAGGACATGGTATGACTTGAACCGAATGGTAAAGAAGCGCACTTATTATACGAGGCGCATGTTTCCCGCCGTATTTCCCTTCTCCCTGAAATGCGACGTAACGCAGCCATGGAACGCTGTTTCAACTCAAAACAACGCGAAGAACAGTGGAGGAATAGACGAAGTTGGGTTCGAACCCAACATGCAACTATTTGAACTCCGCGGTGGGCAGGGTTGCATACGCTAGATTTCGCGGGCGAATTGTGAGATCGGCCCACGAGCTACGCTCGCTCGCAATAGGGTACAGGTGCTTGCTAATTGAGACATTTTTCGGTAAAGGTGCGTATGCGACTTCCAATGCTACGTGTAACGTAGTTCTCCAGTTGTCAGTAACTTACAAGGCGGATAAAGAATGGTGGTCGCATTTCGTACCCTCTGGACGTCACACGGTATCGGATACATCGGGTACATGGGCTGGCCGAGGCCGGGGGGGCCGACTCAACCTCGGATTGCACGGCAAAACCCGTACCCTCCTGACGTCACAACGCTTCAAGATGGCAGCCAAAATCGAAATGCGACCACCATTCTTTATCCGCCTTGAATAACTTATCCGACAGTTCTACTATAAATTTTTCCCTGACTCTATTACGAGTTTTTTCTCAAAATTGGAAGGAAGTAAGTCGACTGTGAATGAATTGCATCTGCTGCAAACTCAATGAAAAATTGCCCAACCTAAGTAGCATTGCAATCCTCATACGCCCTTTCACCAAAAATTTCCTCAATTTCGAGGAGTAGTGAAGAAAAACAACGTGTAAACAAAAGAGGAGGATAGAGTGATTAATTTTCAGGGTTATGGCTGAGCTGATACTTTTTAAATCATGATAAGTAACTTCTCATCAAAGCACAATGTCCTTCCGCTCTTTCGGAAACGGAAAAGGTAATTTACTTAATTAAGAAATAAACAAAAATGACCCGGAATAATTTTCAGCAAACAAATATTGACCTTATGAACAACTGACTGTAGATAAAAGAACCTCCTTATTTTGGGTTTCGTACGTCATACTCGTAGGTATTGATAAGTTATCAGCACCCAATGTTGCGAACGCAAAACGAGTGGTCCATTGATGTAACAGTATAAAAAAACCGAGAGTTTTATCGGAAAAAAGAGGAAGAAGAAATTATCTGCATGTAACACGCATTAATTAGCGTACTGTAGAGCGGCTGTGTTTATTTTAATCTCAACCTTTCGCTTTCGAACTTGATTTTCCTGGAGAATACCTCGATCGACGATGGAGAGGTTCCGTGAACCCCAAGTTTCCTCTGACCTCTTGCAACTTGCAGATAATTGCGAGCATGATAAGGGTGCTTCTTTATTCCACTTACTTGTTGAGAGTCTATTTTTAGTCGGAAAAATTCATTAAGCGGTAATAAAAGTTGGCATAAGAGCACGTGATACGTGATTTGGAATTTTCTATGATCGCTTAAACGTGGAAAATTCTCTGCGATTCAGTGGAAGAAAAAAACACATTGGATCTGGAGTCCAGACTCTTAAAAACATCGACAAGAAAAAGTACTCTTGATTCAATCAGGATCTAGCTTAAATCAAGAACCAAGCCTCTTAATTTAAGCGGATTTCGTTTTGATTCAAGCAAAAATCCGTTTGAATCAAGAGTATTTTTTTCTTGTCAATGTTTTCAAGAGTCTGGACTCTAGATCCAATGTGTTTTTTTTTTCCATAGTGCTCCCTCGGAGTGAGAAAGACTATACAAATTCGACAATTGCACATTTCATTGGGTAATTATACATCATACGGGTGAGAAAAAGGAAGATTGAAATTGAATCGCTAAGAAGAAGATTCTATGGAGCGATTGAGGACCAAGTGGTGAGCGGTCACGATTTATAATTGCTATTTCATTGTTATTGTTCCAATCGTTCGTCGGGCACGCGCCCGCTGCGCCTTGAGAGTATGCAACATTACTCAAATCAACAGCTGTTTATTTATATGCCCATTCGCATTACATGCAAACAACACCCGAATATATTGGATCTATTTCAAATCCGAGGGTGGGGGACTGGGGGAGTGAGGGCGATCGACCGATATCGGAATGATAATACGTTGGGTAATGTTCAAAGTAACGTTATCTAATCGAGACTATTTGGCGCTACGTTTGATCGTGGCGCCCTTCGTACTCCTCTTTCCCTTTATTGTGTGATTCGCGTTTATTGTCACTCGACGTTATCAAGTGACTTTTCGCAATTCATATAGCACAATCTAAGCTCGGAGAAAGGGAAGAGGAACGAGATAAGGGTTGGAGGATGCTGTATAGAGTAAACTAGTGCAGGTCTATGAAACAGACATTTAAATTATTACCCTCAACCGAACTATATTTAGCGATGGAAACGACGAGTTCTGGCTCAGTTTAGAGACAGCGTAAGCACCATAATTTTTCATATGCAAATAAAAGTTTTCACGGATGTGCCAGAAATTTTACTTCCTAATTGAATCGGGACATGCACTGAAAAAAAAAGATAGGTAAAATTTACTATTCCTTCACGCTGTATTTCACGCTGTGTTTCACTATTATTAATATTATTATATTACTTATTTTCTAGCGTCAATTTAGAGTTAATTCTGCCAGAAGAAAAGTTAACGTTACTATATACTGGTACAGGTAACCATTCCTCTGGCAGAATCGACTTGAAGATTTGCAGAAATTACCATTCCTTCACGCTCTGTGAAATACAGCGAGAAGGAATGGTAAATTCTACAAATCTTTTTTTTTTCAGCGTGCAAAAACTGATAATGTCCATATATCCATAATGTCCACCAATGGGCAAAAGGTATGGTATCTTTATATGGTTGAAAGACGGTGTATTACTGGTTCATTGACCACTAATGATGTTCCATATGAACAACAGTATATGATTCATAAAGCAAAGATTTTTCTCAGTGCATAACATGTTGCATGCTCTCGTTTTGAAGGCGTCCATAGACTAATCCTTGAGATGTTTTGTGTGTTACAGGAGTATGGCGAGTTTGATGATCGACTATGCGGTGTTCGTGGTGCTGATACTGGTATCCATCCTCGTCGCGATTTGGTCCAAGTGCTCTGGCCCCAAGGAAAAAACAAAAGCTGACTATGTCTTCGCCACCACCAGCGTTAGCATGGCGGCCATGCTGCTGTCTATCGCCAGGGGGTTTCTCGGCGTCAGAGTGTTCCTAGGTAAGTCCGTGAAAATGCCGCTCTCAGAGACGGATCGAACAGTTTGGCAACACTGGCTTGTCTCCATTTGAGCCTATATAGGTTGAATAATCGATTCCAGTGGCGTGGCGTGCTTTGCGATGTATCGATTGTTATGCCATTTAAACCTATGGAAAAGGATCGATAAACAGGATGTTCGCAGCGAACACCTTTATAATTGATTCTTTACCATAGGTTTAAATGGCATAACAATCGATACATCGCAATTCACGCCACGCCACTGATCGATTCTTCTCGGAGCAGCTGGCTCCTCCAAGAATTGATTCATTTCCGTAGGTTTAAATAATAATATATATCTTTATTTGTTTTTGGCTTGCACATGGCTTCTACAAATGCGTCGAATTTTTCTAAACAAGAAACAAGAATAAATATATGTATATATAAAAAAGAAAAAAAAAAAGACAATGATATCAACCTGTCCCCTTTAAAAAATCGTTGATTGAATATGGACATTCCTCAATTAGATAATGTCTGACCAGGGCATTGTGGCTTCGGGGCTCATCTTTAATTTTTTTCCTTATGTTTGATGGTAGTTTAGAGAAAAAGTTATGGCCTCGAGCCGCTGTTTTATTAATTTTTATGATTAGACTTTCTGTCTGGAGTGGCAATAATAATCGTTGCATTGATGGGGAATATACCAAACCACGTACCCTAAAAAATCTTTCAGGACAGCAATGAAATTGCTTACGTTTCGTATCTTTAAGGATAGAACGGCTCCTTAGAGAATTTTTAATGAGATTCTTAAGATCAGTAGGAAAAATTCTTAAATGTAGCGTGCGATTTTCTCCAATACTCTAAAATTCTGAAAATAACTTCAACTGGGGATAATGAGAGTAGCACCAACTCGTGTGTTTTGCGAATTAAGGTCAAACACTTTGCCCGAAGATACACGTATTTAGAATTAATGCTATGAGCCGCTTTTCTACCTCCTTTTAATCAAAACGAGGCAAAACAAAGACTCGCGCGGAGAACACAGCAAGTTCAAATTTAACGAACCAAGGCTGGGCTAGGAATGAAGGGAGAGAATTAAAGTGTCCTCAGCAAAACTATCTGAGTGGCGATTCATTTTCTTTCTTAAAAAACGAGAGGATTTAATTTGGTACCACAGGCAAGCTTCAACCTCAAATTGATTTCTCTTTTAAGATTCTCTCCTCCTATGTTTTATTGACTTCTCTTCGTATTATGTTTATCGCAGGTTATCCGTCCGAGTTATTTTACAGGGGCAGCGAGATGTGGCAGACTCTTTACGGAATGGTGATTGCTTTCCCGCTGATCAGCATTTTCTTTGTTCCTGTCTATTATAGTTTAGGAATTACCTCTGTTTATCAAGTAAGTTTTATATTTGGAACTCATAAAAATCTAAAAATCCATGTAAACATTTTAAAAAATCAATAGATTGTTTGGCACTTGGCCTAAGAACTTGCTCCGAGAGAACAGATATGTTGGTACAAAAGATGGGAGTTGAGATATGAGGGTCCTACTCTTAGTCATTTCATAATCAGCTCTTTTCCTTGAGAATGCCCCGTATGGTCTTCACTGTGACTAAGAGAGATTTGACGATTTGAGGGAGCGAAGCTAGAGTAAAATTCCAGTGTATAACTTTAGAAATAGATCCTTACAGCCCGTTCCAGATTACTTTTCCTATTTTGCTGTGTGCGCGGGGTAGAGAATTATATACATCAAAAGTGGAACAGTAATCTGAAACGGGCTCTACCAGAGATTAAAATGGTTTGTCACTACAAAAGATACACAATACGGAAGACAAATTTCACACTTTTGACAAATTTTAAGTGGAATAGGCCCTACCTTCATCTTGGCAAAATTCCCAGTATTTGTTATTCTGCAATTCGTAAGTCTAGTCAAATTATTTTAATTGTTTGTAATTTCCGAGGTTATACTCTTTACTTTTACTCCAGGTTCGAGAAAATTGTCCTTTTAGTGATAATGAATCGAAGGCCTCCTCAAACCCAAACCTCTCTTAAGCCCAATGAAAACCAAATGGGACCTTCCGAAGTAATGGAGCTGTTTCAGGAATCATTAACCCTTTATTGCATGGCGTTGCATGAAAGCAACAAATGGTTTTCAGCTTCATTTTTATGCTGGAGTATTAAATTGAATTAAAGCAAGAAATGATTTTTTGGGAGCATTATAAGTGTGATCTCCTAACTTTGAAAGAAACTACAAAGATCGATTCCAACTGACTCTACTATCGAGAAAATACTGTACAACGTAGATTTTCTGTCCAAAATCAACGATTAGCTCATGCAACAAAGGGTTAAGAATACGCTACTGAGTCATGACGTTTCATAGCTTCATTCTCTATTAAGGGTAGCTCCTGGGGCAAAATAGTTAATACTAAACCGGCTTCCTAACGTCAAACTTAAAAGCGGATCCATCCAATGGCGAGGCGTGAATGACCGATCATCGATATTTTTCCATTTGCAGTTATGGCAGAGAATCGATTATTAAGATGTTCGTTGCGGACACCCTGTTCATCGATCCTTTTCCACAGGTTTGAATGAGAGGTCAATCGATAAATCGCAAGGCACGCCGCACCACTGGATCCTTCTCTTAGAGAGATAAGCCACTCCTTGAATCCTCAAATATACCTAGATGTACTCCTTGCGAATGAATACGTCAAATGACTCGTGAATATTTATAAATCTTGCTGAAAGCTTTATTACTTGACTACCTACTTGCTTATACAGATTTTCAGAATTTTGATTATTTTTTTCTCTTTTTTTTCCCAGTATTTAGACCTCAGATTTAAGTCAAGATTGGTGCGATGCCTGGCATCCGGAACCTACATCATTCGAAGTGTGCTCAATTTAGGGGTGACAGTCTTTACGCCATGCGTCGCTCTGAAAGCTGTTATTGGTCTTCCGTACTGGGCGTCCATCGTCTCTATCACATTTATTGGAGTCAGTTTTTGCATAATGGTGAGATTATATTTATAAACGCACTTTGATTTAGAATCTGAGAAAAGTTCTAACACTTTCATTTTACAATCCCTCTTCAGCGGAAACATTTGAAATCGGGGCGATGTCTCGTTTTTCACAGTCCTCAAATACGAACCACTACACTAAAAAATCAATTCTACGGTATGGGTTAAACTTTCGGTATTCTAAATAGATCAAACTATTTCGAATCAAAATAGTATCGATATGGAATAATATCGAATCAAAATTTCGGCTCGTGGGATCGAACATGAACATTTTGTGACGGGAGTTCTTTTAAAATTTTGATTCAATTGAAGATTGGCGGATGGGATCTTTCAAAGAAAGATGCGCAACGAATGAGGTTGCTTTCAATGGGTAATTTAACTTACGATGACTCGGGGTTTTTTTTTTCACGAGCGTCAAGCTCAAATTAACAAACGCTAGGATACACTAAAAACGTTCATTTGTCATCTAAGGCGTGGTTCCAGAAGTTTGTGATATGCCCAACAAGTTCTACATGAAATTTTAGTGGGTAAACTTATCTTCTGACACTCGTACTATACGTCTACCCTTTGTTGTGATAAACTGGATGTCCCGTTTTTACTTCAAAAATACAGATTAAAAAGAAATAAACTGCAAAATTTGAGGAAATCATCAAGTTTCGTCCAGGAAAAAATAATTCCAATGCGGGAAGAAGCTACTGTCAGAATCATTTTCATTCGAATAACTTGAATCACTAAATACAAAAAGGGCACAAGTCCAGAAAACCAAATTGTTCAGGAGACACAAAAAACTGTTTATTTCGTGGTAGATTTTTTTTGGAAAGTCGTTATTTTGTGTCATAACATGTTATGTCAGTCGTTATGTCGTAACATAACGACTTTCCAAAAAAAATCTATCACGAAATAAACAGTTTTTTGTGTCTCCTGAACAATTTGGTTTTCTGGACACGTGTCCTTTTTGTATTTAGTGATTCACTTGAAAGACAGGTTTGTCGCCTAACACGCAATCTACTTTCAGATAGCGTAAATCAAAATTCAAGGTTTCAACTTGCACTGATTTTTTTTTCTATTTCTAGGGAGGACTAAGATCTGCGATCACGGCTGATGTTGTACAAGGAGTCATTATGATAATCTGCTCAGGGGTCATCATACTACACGGAATGATCACGGCGGGCGGCCCGTTGAATGTCATAAAAATTGCGCATGATGCCGGTAGATTGGAATTCTTCAAGTTAGTATCCTCATCGAACGTCTTAATTTCTCGCGAGAAAACCCTTAACACCATTTATATCATAGATTACTCTAAGTAAACAATAATAACATACGTTAAACTGCTTGTGCTGTGTGTATCCGGAGAAGATTTTAGATCGACTGTAAAATAGTGAATCTCCGTGGTAAAAATTGGCAGTAGAATCTGTGTTCCAAAATACCATAGACCTCCAGCCGGCTGTAAGATTTCTAATAGCTCCTATAGCCGGCTACACAATTTCTTATAGCCTTTTATAGCCGATGGCGATTAAGCAACGGCCAGGCGATAAAGTGTATGCTAAAAGTTACTCATTACGGATGCTAGGACTTGGTGAGTTTTTGGACTACTGCTCTCTTTTTGGGCCGTAGTATCTTGATTTATTTTGCGAGGAAAGCTCCGTACTTTTGATGGATGCCTGCCATTCCTTTTATATTAGAGTGCCTTCAGTTTCGTATGATACTGTGCAATACCTCTGGTGTGAAATAGTTGCTTCAAGCGCCGTGGCAGGCGGGCAGCCAGCGCAAAACACGCATTGGCGCCCACAAACCTAACAGGGATACTTCACGCGTTGCGCAATGCGTGAAGTATCCTTGTTGGGTTTGTAGGCGCCAGTGCGTCGCCGCTCCGCTTTTTGTTAGGCTCTAATATTTAATCTGGCAGAGTCAGCGCTATTCAACTCATGATTTTGAAATGCTTGCACATTCTGTACGGATTATTCTCATTTTAATTGATGAAAAAAAATATGTATTAAAGGAAAATATAATGTGTGTTTTGTAAATATTAAGGTAGTTCCGTATCAAACTTAATGATTTCCAAAGCACACAAATTTTTACACAATTTCTTATAGCCTTTTATAATCGATGGGGAAAAAGCAACAGCCAGGCAATAAAGTGTAAAGCCCGGCGATATAGGAACTATTGCCCGGCTGCATAATTTTTTATCGCTTCGTACGGCATGATTTTCTCCGCATTCTACAGCCAGCTGTATGATTTTCTGTAGCCTTCGTTAGCCAGCTATAAGAATTCCTATGATATTTTGAAACGCAGCTCTTAGCGCCAATCTTTACTAGGGCTTATATTCCTGTACTGATCAGTTGCTGGTTTGGGGTGGTCATTTAAATGTTATTATATCCGTCTCCTAACTTTGAAGTTGGCATTGCTTTTGAAGAGTATACCGCTTCACATTTTTTTCAAACAATTCACTGATCGCTAAAAAAGGTTATTTAGATTAATTGGTAAATAAAAATTGCGGAACTACATCGCTGAAAAGCGGGAGAGCACTATTTTTTTACCGTGGATTTTTGGACACATACAGATTTTTCCATCCGAGTTTAAAGTTTTCGCCGTATTGATATAAAAAGGATTCTAGTAATCTGGGGATCGGCAAAATATTAGCCCTCGCAGAAAGATTGTAGGATCAATAAAATTTCAATTAAAGATTTGGGGACAGGTATTCTCGCGTAATCAACAGGATATCTCTTCATTCTAAACGTTCCTTTTATTATTTTAGAGAGACGCCATCGTGTCTTTTTAAAGAGATTGCCGGTTGACTCGAGGAGACTTCTCGCCCAGGAATGATTGACTGGATTGACAAAACAAATTTCCTCAGTGTAATAAAGTATGTCCTTTTCTTACAGTTCAGAGCTGGATCCGACCCTTCGAGTGACGACTATGTCAGCAGTAGTTGGGCAATTATTCATGTCACTTTCAATCTTTGGGTGTCAGCAAAATTTTGTACAAAGATATTGCAGCATGTCATCTCAGAGTAAAGTTATTTGGTGCGTACACATTTTATTATTTGACCTGTACTTACAGTCGGTACTTGCATTTCTTTTCAAAATCCAACATTTTTTATTCATGTCACTTTCAATCTTTGGGTGTCAGCAAAATTTTGTACAAAGATATTGAAGCATGTCATCTCAGAGTAAAGTTATTTGGTGCGTACACATTTTATTATTTGACCTGTACTTACAGTCGGTACTTGCAATTCTTTTCAAAATCCAACATTTTTTTTATTTTTCTAGTTAGAGAGAATTTTGCATTATTTTATAATTAATGTGGTACTGAAATCAATTTATCTTTATAGTGCAACTGCAAATTCCTTTCCTTCGAATGTTGGTATTGAAATTACACTTGGTCCTGTGCAGATATTGTTTTTAATCCTTACCACTTAAGTGCATGAGAGGCTGTTGAACATTTTTCGACCGGGCTTTTGAAAATTTGTAGAAAATCGATGCCTTTAATTTTAAAACGATCTTTATCAAACGCAAGTCCTAATAACATGTTAAATGCACGACCATTTCCGCCTTCAAAATAAAAAAAAATGTTATTACCATATACTTAACCTTACCAAAGACTTAACTGAGGTATATCGAAATTCACCATCAACAGTCCCGAGGTTGGATTGCGAAAACTCCTGCCAAAAAGGACTCAGGCAAATTTTCGTACATGTGTCCTATCAAAATCGCCTACATTATTGAAGGTGCATGTTGCTCGTGATTCGATGGCCTGAAGGAAGGAAAGATCGGTGGTATGTACCGTAGGTGAAACGATAGAAGGCAGATCAAATTTTTTTTCAGGCTGAGAAAACTGTCCATTGATAACGCGGTGTAAAAACTACTGTAATTATTAGACACGTGGGTAGATGGATTTTGCATGATGATTTTCTTTCTGTTGCAGCTCCTTAAGACTGATTGTTCCTGTGATGATAGTCTTATTCAGTTTGTCCTGGGTAGTAGGAATGGTGATCTATGCCAATTACTCGCAATGTGATCCTCTAAAACTAGGTTGCATCAGTAAAATTGATGAAATTCTGCCATTCTACCTTGAGGAGAAATTTTACTTCATGCCTGGTTTCTTAGGACTGGTTATGGCAAGTCTCTTCAATGGAGCTTTGAGGTAAGTTCTCATGTTTGCTTAATGCATAAGTTTTTCTTCTTTTAAATCATTTAATATAAACGTTATAGACACTGATAAACACACCGTGCATCAAAGTGTTAAGGTGCAAATTTAGTGAGACTCTATAGGAACACAGGTAAGTCTGGTTTTTTCGTTCTTCTCACAGAGAAGATTTAACGAATTTTTTCAGAAGTTTCAGAGCGAGGATTAGAGACTTTTTCCGGAGTATAACTCAACTGATTTAAGAAACTTCTTTTCCTGGAAGAAAAAATGGATAGTCGATTCGAAAATGCCCCCCTATAATTTACCTGTATGTCACAAACGTAAATGCATGAGCAAACAGCACAACAATGCAGCAAACAACAATGCAAGGTGTAAACAAGTCAAGTTCTCATACTTGAAATTTTTCATTTAAGTATTATGAATGGTAATGTTGTAAACACTGATATACTCAATTACTCAATTACAATTACTCCTTGAAAAAAATGTCAAACGCAGTTAGATCTGGCTACACTTTTGTTTACTTAATTATATAGTATGGTAAAAATGAAATTAAAAATTAAAATAGAGTATTTCCCTCGGAAAACTGACTAAATATAATAACGCACGAACAAACTCTGATTGATGGTGAGACTCCCAAACCACGGTCTCGGTTTGTTGCAGACTTCATAGCATGCTTTATTGATTAAATGGAGAACTACTCCACGTCTATTCTTTAAAATTTTGGTGATTTTTTCTCGCAGTGCAAAGAAAATTCTGTGAAATGTTCAAAGAATAATGTTGATTTGTTCTCCTCCAAAAAAAAAAAAAAAAATTAGAATGAAAGCAAAAGCCTTTAGAACACCGCAAATGAGATACGTGGTTCAATCGTTGTCGATATGTAAATAACAACAATATTGTATGATGTAGTATGTATCTGATCTAATAGATCTGGTTTTTCTTGTTACTGTTCACAGCTTTTTAGTTTCCAATTTGAATTCACTGGCAACAGTATGTTACGAGGATTTTGTAGCTCTGCTGCCATGTTGTCAAGGACTGAGCGAAACAACTCAATTGGTGTTGATTAAATTGATGAGTAAGTATAAAACATTTTGTTTCTTTCGACTTTTACGGGCATTTTCATTGAGATTTGACCATCATTTTGAAGGTTCACTGGGCCGACTGGACGTGATGGACGTAACTCAAGGACGCAAACTTAGAGGGAAGACCATACGCATAATAGGTTTACACAACACAAATACATATTGTAATTCCATGAGTTCTTAACATGTATAGGGGTAGAAGGGGGTGATTTTTCTCTTCATAACTAGAATTGCTTCAAATTTACTGTGTAACTACCAGACCACGTACCTCGTTTGCGGTGATTAAAATGCTCCGGTCACATGTTATTTTTTTCAAGTAGAACGAATCAAAATCATTCCTTGAAGTTTCCATAGAGGTTTCAGCGCGAAGAGAGGGAAAATCACGAAATTTTTCAAAAATTGACGTTGAGTAGTTTTCCATTCAAAAAAATAAAGTATGGCAGAATGTCTGCATCGTCGCACACCGAGATACGTGTTCTGGTCGTTCCACCATCAAAATTCCAATGCACTTTTCTGCGTATCGAGAAATAATTCGGTTTGAAAAAATTATTTCATCTTAAGCTTATTCTTGGTAATGGTGTGTGAGTGCTTACCCGATTTGAATGTTGCATAGACTTTGGTTATTTTTGGGTAGCGGAAAGATCAAACTTTCAAACAGAGAAAACTTTAATTTTTTGCTTATGCATTGCTTTTATTCATCGCATTCTACGTGAACATTTTATGAGCCAAATGCCACAGCCACGTTTGATGCACTATTTTTCATCTTGATCGATTGAGAGTGATAGGTAGCTAATTTGCTCGTGTTTTCTAGGTGTTTTCTGTGGTTTGCTTGTGATGGGCACCGCGTTTGTCGTGGCGAACATGTCTGGTGTAATCGAGTCAAGTATGCTGATGACATCTGCGACGAGTGGACCTTTGCTAGGAGTATTCCTATTGGCTATGTTCTTCCCATCAGCAAATTGGAAGGTTCGTGATGGCTACTTTAGACTTATGAGGGAGGAGGATATAACTCTATAATGAGAGTGAATTTCTTCAGAGGGTTTATAGAAATAGGCGATAAAGATAATTTTACCCGACACCATATAAAGGGAAATCGTGGAAAACATTAATTTACAGGCCAATGGTAAGAGGTCGAGAAAACTACCTTCCGAATTAAAGAATAAACAAAATGGTAAAATATTTGATTAATGAATTGAAATAGAATCAATGTACCTACATATGCCACCAGATAGCAAATTATACTATGAAAGAAGAGGACTTGAGTTTTTCAGTCTGAGAATTTCACGCATAAAAGATGCATACACAATTTGAAAGCTTCACACCATTAAATCATACATGTAATTAAATCGGCAAAAAATTCTGATCCCAAGAATTTTTTTAACAATTAAAAATAACCCATTGTGTCAAGGGTAGGATTTTCACAGTTTACTCGATTTTTGTCCCTTAAAATACTCAAAATGCAAACATTACAGTCTTTGACACTATATGTATATGCCAGTAATATTGTTTATATTTTAATCCGTCGTATAGCTTATTTAAAAATGAAATTCATAAAAAAACTCATAGTACTTTCATTCGCCTTCTACCGTCAGAGGCGGGACGGAATCTAGAGGAGCCCTAGGAGCTAGGAACCATCGAAAAAGCCTATTTTATTACACTCCACCAAAATCTTCTTGGCCGGAATCTTGGGCCAAATTTGCCGAATATCGGACCCATTTGCAGCTTTCACACCTAGGTCAATTAATGTTATAGGGGGCAGCTGGAGGAATGATACTCAGCCACATATTTGTGATTTGGATAACTTACGGCCGCCAACTGATCGACAAACCCCCGGAGCCTCTTCTCCCTACATCAATCGAGGGCTGCGGCGATAATCCGTTCGGAACCTGCTCTATCCAACCCTCCGGCAACTTCACGAATTCGCTCTTGGATGTGTTGTACGATGACCGACCAGACCCAGAAGTTATACCCACCATAAATGGGTAAGTTAAAAGAAACCTTCCGCAATGAGCTCGAAAATATTTAGTTTCATATGTCGCAGGCAATAGAGATGTTGCATGTGTGAGGAATTTGCGATTTGCCTGTTGATCCTTACGTAAAAGTTCGTGAGAAACACGATGGTGCCACTGGTTTTCTCTAAAATCAATTCCAAAGCTTAAAAAAAGCTCTCAAGTTGAGGCCAAAATGGGGGGGGGGGATATCCCATCCTACCCTGAGAGTCCACGTCTACATCAAGGCAAACTCTCCATGCTAAGATAGGGAGCAAATACATTGACAGGGCTGCCACTTTTTTGGGGGACTCCAAAGCTGAAAGCACAGCAATCCTGCTAATGTATTTGCTCCCTATCTTTGCATGGAGAGTTTGTTTTGATGGAGAGGTGGACTCTCAGGGTAGGGTGGGATATCCCCTCCATTTAGGCCTCAACTTGAGAGCTTTTTTTGAGCTTGGGAGTTGATTTCAGAGAAAACCAGTGGCACCATCGTGTTTCTCGCGAACTTTTAAGTAAGAATCAACAGTCAAATCGCAAATTCCTCACACAAGCAACATCACTATCAGCGACCGGTGACACTTCGCGAGCGGTTCACGCTTGTTGTTTCGATAAATCGCAATAATGCGCATCCGAATAATGACATTTTTAAGAGGCAAGGCTCTCAAAAGCATGAGCTCGGTTTGAAGCGCCTTCATTTTTTGTGATACTCTACGCTCTGTCACGAAGTTAGTTTAGTTGCCTAATGTCACGGAGTCCTCCGCACGCTCCTCGAAGTGTGCCTGTTACTGCCCTGTTTTCGCGGGGGGAAAAGTTTCTGTTCATATTATGGGAAGCATTCTAGGCAGCACTTTAGTCTTGCTCTTTTATATTTGAATTTTATGCTCCTCTATTTATTTACCACTGGCTTGCAAATTGCCGGCGACACATACAGGGTGTGTAAGCCGTGATTTTCGGAACCTGCTAGTAACCAGTATATCAGAGCCCACGTTCATAGGGAAACAGTCTTTTTTTTTAGCTAAAGGATCGTCCCGCAAAATTAGGCTGGTTGAACTCAGAACCATCTGTAGTTTTCAAAAACAATGAGATCATGATTCAAAATAATGAGCGTGAATATTTCATTTGGATCCTGTAATCTTTGGTTTGAAATCGGAACTGAAACACAGATAAAAAATTGGGGATTTTGATTCGTTAAAAATTTATTGCTTCGAAGTTTTTCTCATGATTCGGCAAACATTTGGAGAGCAGGCAGGCAAGGTTTCGAGAGAATCAATTGCGAGGTGAGAGATGGGAAGAGGGTGAGAGAGAGGAGAAGAACAAGGATGAGGAAAACAGAAATTACAAGAAAATTTCAGCACCAGAACCTTGAATATGGAATTTTCTGCAGCGTGGGATGAATATATCCTTAATTTGATTTCTTTTTTAATTCTTTGTTCCAGTGATTGGGTCATGTATCTGTTTTCACTGACATACATGTACTATGCTTTGATTGGAACTATGATCACAGTGATTTCGGGCTTAATCATTAGCTACGTCACAAGTAAGTATTTTCTCCTAACTCTACTCTTAAAATAATTACTATATGAAAGTTCCCGTGGAAAAACATTGCCAAAGACAAAATCAGATATTAGAAAGTTTTCCCCCAAGAAGTTTAGTCCTTCTAGCTTATTCTTTATAAAAAAGTGCGAGAGGGTGACGGGTACCTACAAACCGCAAGTAGCATTTTTCAATTGAAAAATCGCGATATTTTTAAATTAATTTGCAATTTTTTAAGATTTTTCGGTTTGAATGATCAACAGCTGAGCGATTGTCCTCGATCTTGTCGCAATTTTATCTCTATAAAATCGAAATTTTACCTCAATTCATCACAATTTTTTTGTTTGATTATATTGCGCTGAATTGCCGTTGATGAAATCGCCATTTTACTGCAAATCTACGTGATGAAATCACAACTTTTTATCCGATAATATTGCAATAATCGAAGTCGATAAAATCGCGATACATTCTCGAATTAAATCGCGACTTATCGTGATTACTGCTACTTGTGTGTAGATGTTAAATTGATTTAGACGTAATTTTTGTCTTTTTCCCAGGTTGTTGTTCGGAAGAGAACGAGTATGATGAGAATCTGATCCATCCATTGGCTTTGAGACTCAGCAAACTTTTCCCAGGGAAAAAACGCTGCTACAAAACATCATCGGATATGAATGGAACTAAGTCACCTGCTGCAGGGATAACTACTATCAGCGAAAAAATGCAAGGAAATCAAATCAACGGAAACGCTCATTACAACACAATGGAACTATACAAAACTCAATCCAACCACTTATAGAACCGGTTGAATCTTATCGACGGCTCAAGTCGGAAAATGCCTCCTCGCGATCACGACGTTGCAAATATCCGTCCGTGTCTAAACAAAAACTAACCGACCAATGTCGCTGAAATTTTCTATGAATTTTCTTCTATCATTTACGAATATCCACAGTAAATTTCAAAGAGATAATTTAGTTGGCTTTCTTTTGAAAAAATAAAACATGTAATCGAAGAATTTTAAACGTTGCAAAAGGAGATCCGCATTTTCAGATTTTAGCATAATTATTTTGCTAATTGATTCGTCCCAGTGGCGAGGTAGGAATGATCGATTATTATCGACATTTTCCCATTGGAAGCTGTGGTAAACATTCGATCATTAAGGTGTTCGTTGCGAACACCCTGTTTATCGATCCTTTTCCATGGGTTTAAATGCCAGAGCAATCGATAAATCGCGAAGCACGCCACTAGACTGATTCGTCCGGAAGCTAAGTAAAAAGTCTGACGAAGCACAAGACTTTGGGAATTCGAAGGAGATTTAAGTGTCCGTATCCATTGATCACTGTTCTGCCGTGCAAAGGATGAACGCCGTATGAGCCTTCAGGTGTTGCCAAATTTCCGTTGGTAAATCACGAATTATCAGGTAAATTTGTGAATATTTTTCTTCCAATTATTCAGGTAATTTTCTTCGCAATTTTACCTATAGTTCTTGAAAAATTCTCGGAAAAATAATCATAACTTTCTTAAAAAATAAACGTTTCATCGAAGAAAATTTGGCAACTCTCGAATGTTCATACGGCGTCCTTCCTTAGCACGACAGTGTTGTAGCCCTACTGTTCAGAGGTTCTCGATGTTGCACAAAAATCCTCTAAAAAGGAAGCAGTTGAATTCAGTTTTTCTTTCTTGTTCACGCAGAGATGTCACTTTTGTTGATAGAAAATACTGTATACTAGACTGCTTACATTTATTCTTTTATTCCGCTATTTATTTATTTCTATTTTCGCTAAGTTATTCAAGATCATTTGTAATTGTATAAAATGTCTGTGTTTATTTCAAAGGGAATTATGTACGAGGGCTTTGATGTCCCATCGGTATTTATTTCAAGATCTGTATTGGATGATAGTAGAGGAAAGGCATACCTAAAAATTACTTTTGCTATTATTAGTTCTAGGAAACTTTACAAAATATGGAAAGAAGAATAAGAAATTGAGTGATAATTTCGAAATATTGATTTAAGAGTGGATCAAGTTCCTAACTCGTTTGCTAAACGAAAACTGTAAAATACATCGCACCAGATTGATCAATTTCCAGAAAATGCAATAAATTTGGTGATCTTATAAAGTAGTGGTTGGTTGCAAATACGAAGATATGTAATGTTTCAACCAAATCCTATCTATTATGTACCTGGGTATTGTTATTTTTTATTTGTATATTATTTGTTTCTTAAAAACAAGAACCTACGTGTAAAAAAATCACTCGAAAGTTTCTGCGTGATTTTACTATTAATTCATGGATTTGGAGAAGAAACACCATACTCACTAATAAGACAAAATCACAGTAATGCCAATACTATTGTATGTAAGTATTTTTACCGGTATTCTAAATGATGATTGTTCCCAGGAACGAGGTAACCCACTTACGCTTATACTGGAGAAGATAAAAAAGAAAATATATGTCTAATATTCAATTCGTTTATTTACGAATAAAAATTGTATTTGAACGGCATGATTGTAAACAAAATGAAGAGAGCGAAAGAATACGTAATTTTCGAAAAATTAAAAAAAACTAAAGCCTCTTGCATGCTAAGGTCAATGGTATAAGAGAAAATAAATGTAAATATAAGTTACATGTATAATAATTACTTTACAGCCGATCCTTTTGTAATAATAAGAGCCTTTAAAAAAGATGAGGGCGGGTATGTATTCGAAACAATCGATAAGTGATCGCACAAATAAATTCAAAATAATTCCATGGATAAAGAATTTGTCATCTTAACATAAGTTAACATTGTCATAAACTGAATAATTTTTTTTTTCAAATTCCTGGAATAATGAGTTTTATTTTTGTGAAGGGCTATCTGCTCATGTATTTAATAGGAAGATTTATGAAGGCGCTGCACCTCTAGCAAGACATCACGTATTTGCGTCAAAAAAAATGTTCAAAACTGAGTTAATTTTATCTTCCAGGAAACTAATGGAACTCGAAGTTAGCAGGACGGATTTTCAATAAACACCAAGTGAGCTGTTTAAAACTCAGTTCCTGTTAGGTTAATTGCCTTTGTGTACAGTTATTTATAGAATATTGAGCATCCAGGTATTTTTAGATTTAAGTAAAACGTGATTTTCTATTTTGTTTGTATAATAATAGACTGTATGCCTATCTAGAATATTTTCTTTTGTTGGTGGTGCAATAGAAGTATAGATCAGTATTATTAGATGATGATACATCGAACTTCGAAGGAAATTTGTGCCTTTCCATAGGTTTAAATTTACTGAAAAAGTTTGTTAAGTTTTGATACAATGTAAAAAATTGTAAATAGATACATAATTTTATACCTGCAGTGTAGGTATTGTTTGAAAAAGTAAGTAAATTGTTTCTTTTTTAGTATGTACTTTGAGTTCTCTCTATTCATATTGAGGTTTACTTCATTCCATATTTTCAACCCTCATGTCATCTTTTTCAAATACCTTACAATACAGATCTTCTATTTTTTCCGCCTTGGCAAATGTTTTTATGAGACTCGTTGCCCAAGTGCCACAGTGTAACGAAAATATTTAAATCATTTCGCAACTGAACGTAATAAAGTTGCAATTACTTTGCCACGAAACGACGATACTTATTTGTACATGATTGTCAATAAATGCCGATTTCAAACGATCAATTTCACGAGTGTCAAGAGTAAAAAGGGTAGGCGATTTGCAATGCGGAAGAAATTGCAACTTATCTCGAAAAAAAATTTCAACAAGAGGAGTCCCTTCAATTAGTGAACAGACAACATGAACAACTTCTCCGGTGTGACGGCAATAATTATTCGATCTGGTAACGATGGCCCACTAGACAGGGTATGCGAATTTAAGGATTCTGATACATGCATCGTAACCAGAATTTCACGTAGAACACGCTTCTTGCATCGAAAATTACTGGTATCAACTCCTAACTATGATGAGCACGTTGTTATTCTTCATTGGTTGCGGGAAATTTGAATTGCCCAGTCACAAGAAACGCAATACTCTACGTTAGTCAAACCGCGCCCTCCGACAGTATTGGCGGGCTTCTCAATCAAGCATTGTTCCTTTCCCACCTTTCATGGTTTAAAGTGTTAACAATTTGCCATAGCTGAGCAAAAGCGTCAAGTTTGGGGTTGCCATATTTTCGTATTGCAGAGACGTACCACAGTAACGTGTAGTGTCCGATTTGACTCACGTAGACCATCACGTTTTCATGCGGGAGATTTGAATTCACGCGACAAGAAACATTAAAGTTTTGGTTAGAAGTCAATGGGTTGTGCGAATCGTATTCCACGTGAAATTCGGGTAAATATACTCGTATCAGAATGCTTAAACTCGTACTTTGTCTAGTGGTCCATTCCATTCATAGCAACCTGGGCTACTTGGGTTGAAAAAGTAACTCGTGTGACTTACGAACGGTCCTCTAATCAATGAACACCGGATTATAATTTCTTTCTTTTTCTCCCTACGCAATTTTCTCATAAGTCTCGTTTTTAAACAATCACCTATGATGAATTTTGATGTTTTAGCTACTCCAGTGCTTTCATCTAAAATAAATTGGACGATTTTTGGGGGAAACTGGATTTCGAAAAGACACTTACTGCTCTCTGCGCTATCACGGCAGTGCGGACGACCCTCTAATCATTACACACGGGATTATAATTTTTGCCGACTTACGGCTTTCTCATATGTCTCGTTTTTAAACAATTAAGATAAATTCTGCCGTTTTAGCTATTTCCATGCTTTCATTTAAAATAAATTAGATGAATTGGATTTCGAAAATTTGACGCTTACTGCTCTCCCCGCTATCACGGCAATACACCCGGTCCTCTAGTCCGTAAACACGGGATTATACTTTCTTCCTTTTACTCCATACGCAATTTCTCATCTATCTCTTTTTTAAACAATTATGATGATTATGCTGTTTTGGCTATTTCAGTGCTTTCATCTAAAATAAATCAGACGAATTTTGAAGGAAACTCGATTTCAAAAATTTGACACTCACTGCTCTCTCCATACGGACCCACGGGAGGAATATTGTCACTTACTGCTGTCTTGCCTGAAACTACGTCATTGTATGCGCACTTACGGCTTTACCATATGTCTCGTTTCTAAACAAATGCGATGAATTTTGCTGCTTTAGCTATTTCCCTACTTTCATCTAAAATAAATCGGACGAATTTTGAGGGAGACTGGATTTCGAAAATTTGACACTTACTGCTCCCTTCGCTGTCACGGCAATACAGACGGTCCTCCAATCAATAAACACGGGATTATAATTTCTTTCTTTTTCTCCATTTGGGCCCGCGGGAGGCGTCGCATTCCTATTTTAGGAGGGAGGCTAAAAATAGGAGACTCGCGATCTGCGAGAGAGTTAACCCACATGAGGCGAGTCAGTCACCGCGCCTCCCCGGCTTTGCATGTGCGTATCCCGACCCGACCCGATCCAGCGCGGAATCAGGACTGACACGAAACTTAGGTAAAATTTCACGGCCTCCCCCGGCAACAAACCCCGTCAACGGCACTGCCGTGCTACGGAAGAACGCCGTATGAACCCTCGGACGTTACCAAGTTTCCTCCGATAAAAACCGAAACCGAAAAGTGTAGATATTATTTTCCAAAATTTTCAGAGGATTTTGTACACTGGAAAAAAAAGAATCTTAAATTTGCCGCCAAGAAGTATTTCTTCTTAAATCAAGAATTTTTCTGGTTAATATAAGCTACTTTCTTGCTTAACTCAAGCATTATTTTTCTTGTATCAAGAAATAGTTAGCTTAAAGCAAGAGAAAAAAAATTCTTGGCGGCAAATTCAAGAATCATCATGCTTCATCCAAGCTACTTTTTTTTTCGGTGATACGCAATTCAATCTAAAATATCTGAAACTTTCCAGGAAAAATATGCGAGCATTTTGTCAAATATACACGTTTTCTCGAGGGAAATTTGGCAACTATCGAATGTTCATACGTCAGCGAGAAAAAAAAATGTTCAACCCCCTAAAACGTGGTGTTACTTATTCGTATCAACACATTTTGCGTTTCTTTTTTTAAAAATTGAACTGTTTCTATGAGGCATGATGTTGCTTTTCATCAATGGGCCTGTTGCAAACTTTAGCCAGAGCCATAATAAGAGTTGTTTCTATCAGTAAATGTCTAAAAAATTACGATGAGCGTATTTGGTAAAGGTTGAAAAGCACTACTAACTCCACAATCTGCGTAAGAAATTTGCGTTCTCTTGAGCTTTCCGCTTCAAAAACGATACTATACGGCACAGGTGTACGATTCGTAAGAGAAATCGTTCCATTCAACCCTTTCGTTGTAGCAATACCCAACATAGCCGACGCTTCTGCACGCAAATCGTAATCAGGAGCATAAGGGCAACAACGCGAAAAAATCGTGAACGTAAAAACGCTGGGTTGTTGACAAATGGTTAGAATCTCGTCCAGGCTTGTGCTTTGGCGGATTGGTGTCGGGCATGTTGAATTTTGCGTGGTAACCTAGTGCACGGGCATTGGATATAGAACGACACCTCTAAAGAAATATTCACCAGTACCGTAGTATCGTTTTTGAAGCGGGGAGCTCAAAAATACGCAGATTGTGGAGTTAGGAGTGCATTTCAAACTTTGCCGGTGCGCTCATCGTGATTATTGAAACATTTACTGATAGAGAAAATTCTTATTTCTGCTGAAGCAAAAGTTTGCAACAAGCCTATTATTTTGGGGGAAAATATAACCAAAATTTTGAGGAAAACATTTTGGATTCAATGTTTTTACGAAAGCTGCAACAAAAATTTGTGTCCTCGCCAATCCGAAACCGAAAATTAATTCACGCCGCAGAGCGATAAACATTTACATCAAACTTCGGTGGTTTTTAAAAGAAAATTGAAGTCGACGAACTTAATTAAGTTTTTGTCAAACAGGGCTTGTCCTGATGTCAAACTATACGATTGCTATTGACTTTATGAAAGAAGGTAATATGGTAATCTGCATTTTCTTCCCCCTTTAGCAGCAGATTTTTTACCCAGCCTTATCCACCCGATATTTTTCTCTTGCATGCAGTTACTGTGATTTATAGTAATTTTTGCTTCATTTGAACCAGGTATCGATTTACAGGTGTTAGAGATGACTCACACAGAGAATGTCACCACAACACCAGACTCTGAAACAAATAATCAACCTGAGTGGGAGAAAAAACTGGAAAAACTGAAGGGCGAAACAAGCACAGACCCAACAGATGATCTTGAAACACTAAAAACAAAAAATGGACGGATTCAACACTTTCTGAACCAAATTATTGACATGCTCAAGGAAAAACACATCCTCTGCATCAACTTGGACAAACAAAACAAAGCACTGACAACTCAGGTGAGAAAAAGTGTTGAAAAGCTACGTATACATTTGTCAATTTAGACCCCTTCGAGATGTCCTGAAGAGTACCCTAGGCAGCTTGGGACATATCGTCGCTCTTCTGACGTAAAGGCATATCTCAATTTTCGCATGAGCCCTGGAGAGCATAGAGTTATACAGAGAACAAGGCTCACATGGAAATCCAGATACGCCCTCACGTAAAAAGAGCGACGATAATGGGTCTGTTGCACGCAAAAAATACAAAAATAAAAGGGAAATGGTCAAATCAGACATTTTGTCAAATGCCTAGGCAAGTAGTAAAATATTTTGTTATAAAAGAACAAAAGGCGGGAAAGTCCGCAAAGAGAGTTTACAAGACGCAGGTTGGCCGTTTCCGCAAGGTGAGGAGCTGAGAAAAAAACAAACAAACAAAACCCGTCACTCACCTACCCGGCCTTGCGAAAACCTGAAATAGCGCCCCTGCTCATTTTGCCTAAAATCAGGGCTGTACGCGTAAAATGAACAATGTGAAAGATTGGTTTCCATGAAATATTTCATGAAATTTCACGATGCTGTGAAATATTTCATATTTTTCAGGGGGTAGAGTATGCAACCTGTACTCAAACACACACAAAGAAGAAAGTCACAATTTTTACATTTTGCGAAACGTGAAAAGGAGCCGGTATTTTCCAATAGGTATATTTCATATATTTCTAAAATTTCATGAAATATTTCACGTGAAATTTCAAGATTTTATTTGTTTTGCCTAACATGATACATAAACTAATTGTTGAACTAATTAAAGATGGAAAGGCGAAGACATCGCAAGAGGTCTGCCTCAAGTTTTCAATCACCTCAAGGAAGACTGTCAGATTATATTAGATCATTCAACAGAAAGAAGTAAGGAAGAACTGTCACTCCGAAAGTACGTTAGAGATCAACATGACACTTACACCTAAATTCTGCAAACATTGGTTCAAAGTGTTCTTGTGGCATGTTTGCAAAACTACCCTTTTTCATAACCTGACGAAGGACCCTGTGAGATTCTGATCACTGACTCCGCCTCATCCTGAATTCATTTTACAGACTGAGTCGCTGAAAGAAATTACGAACATCACAAAGGATTTGCTTAACATTCGGAATATGGAGGTTGGGCATTTGAAGGAGGATATGGAGAAATTGCAGGGAAAAATCACACAGGAGAGAGAACGACAAAAGCTCATGCTCAACAAAATGGACACCGCCTCGACGTGAGTCTTTGGCAAAGTCTATATTTGTGTTTTTCAGCCCTTTTTTTAACTTGCTTTCTTTTTTTCGGGGGGGAGGGGGTTACATTATTAAAAATTTAATTAAGGTTGTAATTAATTGAGACGCTTGAAAAAGCATTCTATCAACGAAGTTTGATAAAAGGTATCGTTTTCTGCATGGGTATAGTGGGTACAGACGGTTCGTTAGTTAACACGATTTTACCAGTAATCCACTAATTTTTCCGGCGTTCCAATAGCCTTTTACACAGCGTGATCAGAATAATCTCTGCACAAACCAATCAAGGCGGTCAAAGTAATTTATCGAAACATACACTTCATTATGTCATTTGCATCATTGCGATACGCATTGCGCAATGCTTGAAGTATCCCCTTCGGTTTGTAGGCGCCAGTGCGCGTGTCGCGCTGGCAGCACACCGGCCGTGGCGCGGCGTGCGGTGGCGGTGTTGTGGGTTAATTTCTGTAATTCGCTGAAGCTTTTTTCGGCTCAGAGTAGTATGAAAGATCCTGAACACAAACATATTCTCAGTTTCAAACTTTACATCACAAGTGAGTGTATGATGGTGTCAAAATTAAAATTATAAGAAATGATAACACAAGTGAAAATAAAGAAATGACATAATGAAATGTATGTTTCGATAAATTACTTTGACCGCCTTGATTGGTTTGTGCAGAGATTATTCTGATCACGCTGTGTAATAGGCTATTGGAACGCCGGAAAAATTAGTGGATTACTGGTAAAATCGTGTTCACCTAAGAGCCGTCTGTACCCACTACCCATGCAGAAAACGATACCTTTTATCAAACTTAGTTGATAGAATGATTTTTCAAGCGTCTCAATTAATTACAACCTTAACTAGTTTTTTAATAATTTTTAAAAAAAAAAAGCTTCAGCGAATTACAGAAATTAACCCACAACACCGCCACCGCACGCCGCGCCACGGCCGGCGTGCTGCCAGCGCGACACGCGCACTGGCGCCTACAAACCTAAGGGGCTACTTCACGCATTGCGCAATGCTTGAAGTATCCCCTTAGGTTTGTAGGCGTCAGTATGCGTATCGAGCTAGCAGCGCGCAGAAGCATGCCGCGCCGCAGTGTGCCATAAACTTGCATACAATTAGTAGCCCAGGGTGTTGAAATGTAGGCGATTTGACATCAAATTCGAAATTAGCGACTCAAGAAAACAGCAATTACGAAACTTTCGTGATCTTTCAGTCATTATCCGACTTTTTTCTTCCTACCCTTGAGTTTTGGACAATAGTGCGCCGCGGGCGGCGGCGCTCACGAAATTCTCCTCTGAGCTTACAACTTGTTAGTCGATCCTGAAAGCCGAACGCCGCGGATTCGAATTTTTCCGGGCATCAAAAAGCGCGCCTGTGCGCATCGTAAACAGAGCCTTCGACATTGTAGATATACTTCAAACATTACACCGTTACGCATACGTTCCGATGTGCAAATTGTACAACTTCGCCGTCCGGAGTGTAAACCGTGTTTGGGATTGACAAATATATCGATGACTAAAGTGCGAAACCATGTATATCTATTGTAATATTTCAAAATCTCTGCTTTTTTAAAATTTTGTGAAGAGAAACAAGCCAACTTCATAGATTACCTATGCAGGATATTTAGACTATAAATATCTTGAAAAACAAAGGAAGTTTGCGAAAAATTACACGTTGACAATTAAGTTTTCTAAGGAAAAATAAAAAGATGATAGGAAGTCTGCAACGTTGAAAACGGAGATACATGATCTCGCGCTGAGGCGATCGATTTGTTACTGCTGAGTTTTTCAAGAAGCTAAATTAAAGATTTGGCCTGTTTTTGGTAATAATACATATATACACATACACATAGAGTGTGAACATCAATGAAAGAATAATATTAAAATAATGTTCCACATACTATGGGTATTTTAGGTCACTAAAAAAAATTGTGTTGTAATTTTAGGGTACCATGTATTAACCACATTCTAAATTCATTATGCTTGAAACTAAGATTAAAGAGATGGATGTCGATATTTAAAAATTTCAGCAGTCAAAATGATCAATTTTAACTACGCCAATGCGGTTAAGAGGCAATTTTCAATGGAAGTATCCCAAATGATGCTACTTTTTCCTCCCAAACTCCTCAATCACACCTTATTTTGTCCTGCCAAATTCACTCCCTGGTTTTCCTGGACGCTAAAAACCTTGTGATTTCATTAATATTTCAGGACACTTGCGTGGGTGTATACAAAAATAACGCTTTATAATTATGCAACAGCGGCGAGGCGTTAATGATCGAATATAGATATTTCTCCATTTGAAGCTGCGGTAAAGAATCGATTATTAAAGTGTCCGTTGTGGACACCCTGTTTACCGATCCGTTCCCGTAGGTTTAAATGGCAGTTTAATCGATGTATCGCAAACCAAGTAATTGAGATCAACTTAGAGAAGTTTTTCGAGGTCGCATTAAATTCAAAACAGAAAATTTTTTTGTTGCAGACTGAATGATAAACTGAAAACCGAGTATCACACACAAATGAACCTGTTCCAGACATTGAAGGACAAGTACGAACAGCGAGTGAACGCACTGATACGAGAAAATGTTGAACTTAGAAAAAAGTTAGGCCTCAACCCAGAGAATGCAGAGACAGCAGCTAAAACGCCAAGTTCTGACGTGGCCTCATCATGAGGCTTAAACTTTAAGTTTGGACTGGGCAGTCCAAATCATTTTGTACAAACTAACTACTTGAAGGGAAGGCTACCCTACATTTACGATACTGTTAAAAGGGAGACAATGAATGTTTTGGTTCTGTTTTTTCTTGAGAAGATCTGCGGGGAGTGAAAGAGGTGTGAGAAGTATAAAACAAAGTTCGCAGTTTCCTGCGACTTTTTCTTCTGCCTCAAATATGTTCATAGAATATAATGTTTGTTGAGAATAAAATTATGTAAGATAAGTTTCAAGTAGTTTAACGTTAATATCCTACTGCAGGGGTTATTTTATTTTGTGTTTCACACTGGAAAAAAAAACCACATCGGATCTCGAGTCCAGACTCTCAAAAACGTCGACAAGAAAAAATACTCTTGATTCAATCGGATTTGTGCTTAAATCAAGAGCCAAGCCTCTTAATTTGAGCGGATTTCCTTTTGATTTTAACAAAAATCTGATCGAATCAAGAGTATTTTTTCTTGTCAATGTTTTCAAGAGTCTGGACTCTAGATCCGATGTGTTTTTTTTCCCAGTGCATGAATGTTTCAAAAATGTCTTCATACATACATTTTCATAAATATCTAGACCTTGCCGGTTGAATTTAATTTTAGGTCTTTAGGTGCACAAAAAAAAAAAAATTTAAAAAAAATGATTCCATGGGTATTCTTTTACCCATTCTGTTACCTCAATATACATATACACCACGGACGCCTAATGGATCCATTCTCGATGATGAACAGGAGCGAGGCGTGAATGATCGATTTTCGATATTTCCCCATTTGAAGCTGTGATAAAGGATCGATCATTAAGGTGTTCGTTGCGAACGCCTTGCCTATCGATTCATTTCCATAGGTTTAGATGATGGATCAATCGATACATCGCAAGTATACCATACCTTTGATGATGAAGTATGCTCATCCTTCGGTGCAATTTATGATGCTAAAGGGTTCAAAGGTTAAAATTACATGATGTGAATGGTTTCATCGTCAGCCATTACCACCAGATTTCATTGGGTATGAAGTCGTGGTTGTCCCTTTGTTTGAAAGATACAATCAATGATAATTATGATGGATAATATCGTTGGAATTGCTATTATCAACAATTTTTACTGGGAGCGTAAATGACCATCGCCACTTGACTGGATCAGGGTGTCTACTAAAACAGGCCGACGGAAGTTTTTTCGCGGCACTTTTTTCAGTATTATTCCACAAAATCCAGGACCCCCGTGACACAATAATGCAGTGTGCTTTTTCAGTGCCTAAATGTGCCAAAAATCACGCACGAAACGTGCTGGCAAAAAATGTGTATAGTCTTGAAATTAGAAGCTCACTGGTAGCGAAGATACAGTAGCTGGGCAATCGGAATCTAGCGGGCAAATAAGTACTGCAATAATTGGATTGCGTTTTGCAAAAACGAACTAAGACCATTCCAGTGCTGCTAGGATTGTGCAACTTGCATTCTTCACAATAAAATTACAAAATCATGCAGAAAATTAAATTAAAATTTACAAAGGAAAATTTCATATTAATTAAAGTTTATTGGGAGTAGGTAAAGATAAAACTTGTTTAAATGATCAGTTCTGCAAGGTAAAAAAAGTTGCACAATCTTAGCGACATTGGACTGCTCTTGGCTCCTTCTTGTAATATGCAATTTAATTGTCAGAATCAATGCACAAGGGATTGCATACTTTACAGGCCGTTTCAAAAACACGCGCGGTATGAAGCAAAGCATTTCGGACCTCCTTGCGGAACAGCCGCACCACTTCAGCAGGCCGATTATTGAAACTGATAGACAAAGCTATAGACAAAGACGACAAAATGGATTTGGAGGAATTCTTTTGGTGGAAGCGGGTAATGGCAATGGACATAGGAGGTAGGTAATGGACTACCTGACGGCAACCCACCAAAGACCCGACAGTTAGTCCATCATTTTCTTCCTTAGTCTATAAGAATCAACCATGTCAACCAATCGGATCGCTCTATACTCCCTATGTCTTCTTTGTCTATCGCTTTGTCTATCATTTTCAATAATCAGCCCGCTGGAATACCAATTTTTGCAAGTTAGCAATACTGTTTTTCCTCCATCTGAATGTATGTCAAGCAATCGATTCGTGATGAGGCGGCTTGCCTCGCCTGCGGGCTGATTATTGAAATTGATAGACAAAGCGATAGACCGGGACGACAAAAGAGAAATGGAAGGATCCTATTGGAGGAATCGGGTGATTGCAATGAACAAAGGAGGTAGGAAATAGACTGACTGACGGCAACCGGCGAAAGACCTTTTGGTTAGTCCATCATTTTCTCCCGTAGTCTATAAGAACCACCCATCTCAAATAATAGGATCGCTACATACTCCCTAGGTCTTCGTCAAGCAATCGATTCGTGATGAGGCGGCTTGCCTCGCCTGCGGGCTGATTATTGGAATTGATAGACAAAGCGATAGACCGGGAAGACAAAAGGGAAATGGAAGGATCCTATTGGAGGAATCGGGTGATTGCAATGAACAAAGGAGGAAGGAAATAGACTGACTAACGGCAACCGGCGAAAGACCTTTTGGTTAGTCCATCATTTTCTCCCTTAGTCTATAAGAACCACCCATCTCAAATAATAGGATCGCTACATACTCCCTAGGTCTTCTTGGTCTATCAATTTCAATGAGCAGCCTGCTGAAATCGATATTTTTAATGACTTTGAATGTAGGAAAAGCAGTGTTACCAACTTGCAAAATCGCCACTGTTTTTCAGTACTGCCGGACCGCCTCTAAAAATTATTTTTAGTAAATTAATACTAAACATCATTATATTGTTTTTGAATGAGCCAAAACAATATAAATGTATAACTTGTTATTACACTAAATATAACATATGAAATTAGTCATATTGACACCCTGTCGATTGAGCGCAGCAGAACGGTGTCAAGTCGTCATATTAAATTAATAGATCGTATTCGATGCATCAAACGGGTGAAATTGTATCGGTATCGATTGGTTTTTGCGTTTGGCCCAGATATTCCAGACCAAATTTTCATCAAAAACCAAAGTCTGTCATCGGTGTCAAACTCGCTCCTAATGTAAACAAACGAACGTAGACATAGTCCGGACATAAACAAAGCGGACCCAGAGCGGACTTCCTCGAGATGTTCCAGACTCAATTTCTCAGCGTTAGCGTTTCTTCACCTCGACAAAAGAACTTTCGTCCGCGTCTAACATTTATCCCTTTCGTAAAATCAAATATCAGTTACCCCGTTGATCTGTTCATGGTGATTTCAAGTGAAATTGCGGCGAGATACTCCAGACTCCTAATGTAAACAAAGCGGCCTGTACCTGGTCGAGATGTTCCGGACTCATTTCTTCATTTACGTTTCTTCATCTCGACCAAAGAAGTTTCTCGCGCATTCAAAGTAACATTTTCCGGTTCCATTGTTAGAGAAGAAACAAGTCATTTTGTTGTAAGTTAGGATAATATTTGTGTTGATTAAGTGGCTTGAGCATTGGACTACCTGGCTGCGCCTTGCATAGGCTGCCTCTATATCAAGATGATTGGGAGAAAAGCTTACTGGTTGATGTGCGAATCTGAATCCTAAATCCCTAGGAACGGTAGTTGTGAATTCCAGACGGATGTACAATGCTAGGTACCTTGCTCCTCACTCACTTTCTCATGGATGTTCGCTGGTCTCTCCAAGGTTCTGGTTTTGCGATGCGTTGAAGCCAATGCTTTAAGTTTAGCTATAACAACTAGGCTTCGGAGATACTAATTAACAATCCTAGCAGTCACCAAATTCTCCAGCAAACCCGCATAGTTGTCTATTAACAGCTGAAGAAGCAATGGAAACCGTATTTACCTATGACAACAAGATTTTTTCCGTTGGAACTCTGATAGTAAGTATGAGGGGGAACCATCACCTTTAAGGCACGTTTCTCCATGAATTTTCTTGTTTTTTGGCATCAAACTAAGTAGAACTCAAGGAAAATGAGGCAAGACTTTACAAGTTACCATGTAAGGTTCATCTGCTGAAAAAATAGAATAAAGTCTAAAATTCCTAATGAACATCACCAAGATGGTTCTGCCACCAGCAGTTCATTTTTTAAGGCACGGATCAAATACTGTGGTTATCTATTATTCTCACGGTGCCCATCAAATTATAGGTAAGAAACCTAGTCCTGTAATAATAATGGCATGGAATGACGGGCTCTAATTGGTGACTTGACCATCCCCAATAAGTTATCGAAAGAATTTACTTCTTAAAAGATCCTTTGCGATTAAAGCCAAGTAAATTTGCGGATGAAAGTCCCGTGTGATATGTGAAGTGTACTTATTCAAAGTAATTTCAAAGGGAAGGGATGAAATGTTCAAAAGGTAACGTCCAAATTTGCAAAGTTGTAGAGGCGCTAGGCACAAATTGGATAAGGTGCCGCTAAGTAATTATTAAATGAATTTTTTATTGTTATTAATTACGGAAAAGAGGAAAAGAGGAAAAGAGAATCAGGCTGAATGCTGCCGAATGCCAAAATTCCAGAGACAAATAGAGACCGAGCACGCCCTATTCCGCCAATGTATTTTGAGTGAGGCACATCTAATTCTCGCGGATTCAACAAAACAACGGTCATCATTTTTCTGATTTCGCCTAAAGTTGACTGGTGCTAGTCGCGTCTGGTGAGGTTTTGGCAATATGGCGATTTGTTTACATTCTTCCTTATCACTTGCAAAGCGGAAAATTTTCCAATATTCCAATTTTTCCCTTGAAACTCTCCGAATTTGTCATAAAATGACTTTTTACCAAGTAAATAATTAATTCACCCCTTCTACTCAACATTTGTGATACTTTCGGTGGTTTCACTTCTTGCAGTGAGAAACAGATTCCTCGAGACAGCCTGGTCCTCAGATTGTTCAACTTCCATATGGATAATTATTTTAGCAATCGAAATGTTCTTTGACTGTAAATGGTGTATAATTTTTTCAAGATAATTCTCTGTAAATAATTCCAAAATCCTATCCCGAAGCCTGATGTAATGCATTGAATGCGGAGCATTTCGACTGAAGAGTCGATATGTGTCTTTAAGGAGCTGTGTAAATGAAACGGTTGGATAAGCCTGTAAGCAGTACAATTTCTTTTGTGTGTGAAAAATAACTGAATGTCCAGAATTCTAAACATCTGACTGTATCTCAAGTACCTGAAGGAAATGTTGGTCAGGTCAGAGTTTGTGAATCCTTGGCAGCAGTTACTGAAATTCTCCTACGTACTTAACAACT